AAATGTGAAAAATTACGCGAACATTTAATTCATGCTGTTGATAATTGTCTTGCATCATGTCGTTATCATTTCTTTTCATATGATGGACCAAATTTTAAAAAATTATCATTACCAACAACACCATTTGTTGGAAATTATTTTCATTATCCAAATGATGAATTTAAACATCCAGATTTAATTGATGAATTAATTCAAACTGATTCATCTTATCAATCATATGTTATGGCTCATAATGGATGGGTTATGAATGATGATCCATTAAGATGTTTTGCTGATGAAGGTCAAGATGTTTATTTACGTCGAGATCTTCTTCAATGGTCTGATATTATTAAACTTCGTTTTGGTTCAAAACAAGAAGATTGTCCAGCATTATATTCTTATATGAAAGAATATACACGATTAATTGCAACAACATTTCATGGTTGTCGTCTTGATAATTGTCATTCAACACCATTATGGTTAGCACAAGATTTAATGGATTATGCAAGAGAAATTAATCCCAATTTTTATATTAATGCCGAATTATTTACTGGAAATATTAAAACAGATACACATTTTATTAATCAAATTGGAATAAATTCATTAGTAAGAGAATCATATCGTGCATTTGATCCATATGAATTAGGTCAAATAACATCATCTGTTAGTGAAGGAGATCCACTTGGATCATTTAATCAATTAAATCAATGTTTATTAGAAAAAAGTAAACCATATTCATGGTTTTATGATCAAACACATGATAATCCATGTCAAATTGAAAGAAGATCTGTTGAAGATGTTCTTCCACGTTCAGCTATTGTTTCAATGGCTAATTGTTCAACTGGATCAAATCGAGGTTATGATGAATTAGTTCCACATCATATTGATGTTGTTCATGAAAAAAGATTTTATTCCGTATGGAATCAACAAGTTAAACAAAATACTGCAATGATTCAATTAAAAAAATCTTTAAATCATTTACATGCTCAACTTGCAAAACAAGGTTATTCACAGGTTAGAATTATTTTACTATACATCGTTGTAAAAAGGAATGTCTCATTTTCGATAGAAACTCAGTTTCATTAGTATTGTTTCCTTTTATTAAAAAATACATTTTTTGTTTCTATTAGTTATTAGTTGATCAATTATCATCATCAGTATTATTATTAACTCGTCATAATCCATCAAATCATAAATCAATAATTTTAGTTGCAAATACATCATTTTTTCAATCAAATAATAATCATTCTGAACGTTTAAGTCCATTATCACTTGAAGGTGTTATTGATGAAATAATTGTTGAAGGATCATTAAAACATGATCAAGAGAAAGAATCAGTAAAAGAATTTCAAAGATCATCACAATATATTAATGGACTTATTCATACAAATGTTTATTTTAATGAAAATATTCCAATTGAACAAAGTCAATTGATTCGTTTAACATCATTAAATAATCGTGAATATAATGGTTTTCGTACAATTGAATTTACAGAAAATTTTCGTCCTGGTTCAATTGTTATTTTTCAAGTATCTGTTCTTCCACAAATACATCAAACATTAATTAATATTGAACAAATAATCAATCAATTTTCGAATCCATCAAGTCAATTTAATAAAATCATTCAAGATTTAACATTAATTGATCTTGAACGTGTTCTTTATCGTTCATCAGTTGAAGAACAATCTGATGGTAAAGGTGTTGATGTTTATACAATACCTGATTATGGTCAACTTGTTTATTGTGGTTTACATGGTTTAATACCTATTCTTGAAAAAATACGTCAATCAAATCAACTTAAACATCCATTAGTTAATAATTTAAAACAAGGAAATTGGTTAATGGAATATATTTCTAATAGACTTAAAATTCATCCAAATACAAAACAAGTATTTGATTTTCTTTTATTTCTAAGATAAAAAAATCTAATTAAAATAATTCTTTTAGTTAGGTGATTGGTTTGGAAATGTATTCAATTATATTGGAAGTTTATCTCGTTTAATGATTCCATGTTATTTTGATTTAATAATTCGTAATTCTTATTCAAAATTAATTGAACATAGTATTGAATTACAAAATCAATTTATACGTGGATCATCATCATTTGTACAAGATTTATCTCAATCAAGTATACAATTAGTAAGTATTGTAAGAAATGCACGTTTACCATTATTATCACCAAATTTACGTGAACCACGACCAAATGAAGAACAAGATGAACAAACATTTGAACGTGTTCAACAATGTCCATCATTAGCTGCAGGTTTTCCACATTTTGGTGCTGGAATATGGAGAAATTGGGGACGAGATACATTTATATCATTACGTGGTCTTCTTCTTTTAACTAGTAGATATGAAGAAGCTCGTTATTTAATTTTATCCTATGGTGGTTGTCTTCGTCATGGTTTAATTCCAAATTTATTAGGTGATGGAAAAATCGCTCGTTATAATGCACGTGATGCTGTTTGGTGGTGGTTATATTCTATATCATGTTATACACGTTTAGTACCTGATGGATATGAAATACTTTCAGATAAAGTTTCACGTTTATATCCAACACATGATAGTCCAATGCAAGCAAGTGGTTCACATGATCAATCATTATATGATGTTATACATGAAGTTCTTCTTCGTCATATTCAATCATTAAATTATAGAGAACGTGGTGCTGGACATTCATTAGATTCAGATATGAAAGATCAAGGATTTAATAATGAAATTAGTATTGATATTAAAACGGGATTTGTTCAAGGTGGAAATCAATGGAATTGTGGAACATGGATGGATAAAATGGGTTCAAGTGATAGAGCGGGAAATAAAGGTCATCCAGCAACACCCCGTGATGGATCAGCTATTGAATTAGTTGGATTATCTCGTGCAACACTTTCATGGATTATTGAAATGAATAAAGAAGGACATTATCCGTATGATTCTGTTGAAACATCTACAGGTAACATTTTCTCTTTTTAAATTAAAAAGAAAAACAAATATATTAAATTTAAAAAAAAGGTTCAAGTGGTAAAATGAAATTACTTTTAACTGATTGGATTAATAAAATTGATGAAAATTTTGAAAAAGAATTTTGGGTTGATGAAACAAATTCATCAAAACATGTTAATAGAAAACAAATTTATAAAGATACACTTAATTCAACATTTCAATGGACTGATTATCAATTAAGACCTAATTTTCTTGTTGCTGCTGTTGTTGTATGTTAATATATTTCCACTTCCTTCATATCTAATTTGATTTATTTATTAAAAGGCACCAGAAATGTTTGATAAAAATCATATATGGGCAGCTTTAACACAAGTTGAAAACATTCTTCTCGGACCCTATGGAATGAAAACACTTGATCCAAGGTAAAGAAAAAACTAATTAAATTTATTTTATTTTATTTTCCTTTGTTTTAATAAAAGTGATTTTAATTATGTTGGTGATTATGTAAATGATGATGATTCAAATGATTTTAAACGAGCACGTGGTTTTAATTATCATAATGGACCTGAATGGTTATGGTTAACTGGTTATTATATTCGTGCTAAACTTTATTGGTCAAAACAACAAGATGATCCATTAATTGTTAAACAAACAATAAAACATATTCGAAAATTATTATCATCACATATGAGTTTATTATCATCGAATGATTGGAAAGGTTTACCTGAATTAACAAATGCTGAAGGAAGATCATGTCCATATTCATGTCATGTTCAAGCATGGTCAGCTGCAACACTTATTGAAGCTTTCTATGATCTCACACATTCATAAGTAGATTTCTCTTCTCTTTCATCTCTTCTCTTCTCTTCTCTTCTCTTCTCTTCGTTTACTTTCGATTATTTTAAAAACATAAAATATTTTTTATTTTTAAACCCGCCACCTATTTTTTTAGTCATTTAGGAAGATTTTATTTGATTTTATTTAATAAAATAAAGATTAGTTAGAGATTACTGAAAATATTCTCATTTTGTTTTGATTAGATTGTTTAACAAGTTTTATTTTATGGAATATTTTCTTAAACAAGCATTAACAGTATTTATTAGATAGAATTTTTTTTTGTTTTATTTAATAAAACAAATGACTTTTTTTTCACTTATAATATTTCTTTTTCATCCTTGTCAGTCAATACAAGTCTCAAGTTCATATTGTTATATTAATGACTGTATATAAATTTTAAGAGAGAATATTATAGTTAATAACAATTCCAAAAGATCTCTAATGAAATTTTATTTAAACAAGAACACGTAGACAATCGATGTTGAAGTTTTGTATTATTCTATGAAAAAATATTTGTTAATTGGAATAAAATGTGAATATTGATTAAATAAATTTGAATTTATTTAAAAATGTTAATTAAAGAGGAGAAGAAGAAGAAGATGAATCTTATAGAAGAATCCCTACCCACTATGACGAAGAAGAAGAAGAAATGAAATTTATAAAACAGGAAAAAGTGTATCTCTAATTTTATATTTGGCAGTTAAAACAGCAGAATGATTTTTTTCATATAATTTTTGATAAATAACAAGTGAATTTTGATAATGTATTAATGCTTGACTAAAATCAGTTAATTTAAAAAGAATATCACCCATTAAAGAATAAATAATAGCTGTTGTTAAATCTCCTTGTGGTTGTTTTTCATAAAGTGAATTAATTAATAAATTAAAATAATGTAATGCTTGATATGAATCTTGTTTTTGTAAATAAATATTTGCAATAATTATATAAATTGAATCTTTTGAGAAAATATTTGATTGAAATTTTTTTTCTAAAATTTTATTGAAATAATCTAATGTTTGATCTAAATGATAAACTTCATATGAAATATCAATATCATTAATTTCTTTTGTTTTTTCATCATTTATTAAAATTAAATAATTTCTTAATTGATTTTTAAAATGTTTTTTTAAAAATATTTTTCCAATCATAATATAAGTATTAATAATTGAATAATCATCTAATGGTCTTCGTTGAATTAAACAATCAATTAAACGATAAAAATATATTAATGATTTATCATATTTATCTTGTCGATAAGAAATATTTGCTAAAAATTTATAAATTTTTATTAATGTTGGATCATTAAAATATTTTAATTTTAATTCAAAATTTAATAATGAATAAAAATAATAAAAAGCTTTATCATATTTTAATTTTTCTAAACAAATATTTCCGCAAATAAGATAAAGTTTTTTAATTGAAAAATCATTTGATGAAAATTCATTTAATTGTTGTTGAAGAATTTTTTCAAAATAAATAAATGATTCATCTAAATGAAGTTTTTCAAAATGTAAATTAGCTAAATCTTTAAATAAATCAAATGAAACTGAATCATTTTTAAATAAATTTGTTTTCTTGTTTTTTAATTTTGTATAATATAATAATGAATCATCAAAATGTTTTTTTTTTAAATAAATTTTACCAATTTTTTTAAAAATTTCAATAATTGAT